ACTCGTGAGATTCGAACCCAGGACCTACCAGTTACGAGCCAGAGCCCTTAACCGATAGACCACTGAGCCGGCCGGCATCCAACGGTGTTAATGTCTAACTTCAACTGATCCACGAATTATGAGCGACACTTCACCAATTGCCTTCAGTGAGTTGTTATCTCACAACAGACGTAACTGGTAGGTCCTGGGTTCGAATCTCGCGAGTGCGGGATCGTGGGTGCGCACTGCTGAAGAGCCCCATAATAGGACGAAACGGTCGTCCAGTGCTTCCAGGATTTCGATGGTGGTCTAGCTTCAACTGACTCATGATTTCAACTTTGAAATAAATTCATAATCTTTTTTACTGATTTTGTTAAAAACATCATCTATTGATATTTGTACTTGTACAGAAACTGTAAAATAGATGAGTTGTCTTAACATTAAACTAATTTGTGTTATAATAATACTAAGTTAGCATTGTAACTAGGGTTGACCTTAGGATGTGATGAGTATGAAACAATGTTTCATATATACATATATATAAACACACACACACTGAAGACTGAACAGTTGAGATAAGTAAACTGATGATGATACTTTTATATCATGAAAAAAGAAAACAAACAGGGGGAATGAAGAAATGATTAATATCTGATTTTTAACAATGGAGAAAAAATAGTTTAAACTTGGATAAACAGTGAAGAAAAGGAAGCAATATATATATATATAAGAGTTAACATTACTTGTAAATATATACTTATTCTACGTTTGGATCCAGTGGTAATGAATCAGATAATTTAAAAAGTGGTTATTTGGCCTTTCAGTAGAATATTTACGAGTTATTTACTTTTCTTTGGTTGTTGAAATTAGAAGTGGTGAGATCTATATGAAGCCAACTTTTAGCTATTGGTTTAATGGTTATTTCTGGTCAAGGTGTTTTGATCAAAATTGAACAAATTAAGAATAAAACGATTCTACAACCATCTAATACTTATGGTCTGGTTTGTTTGATCCATTTTGTCAATAATATGGATAACTTATTATTAAAGTGTTTTAATTTTGAAATTAAACCACAAGATCATTTCATAACATTGTTTTCTCGACTATTTGATCTAAGATATTTTCACTATTCAGTACATTCAATCCTAGAGTGAATTACTGAAATTCAGTTTTGCGCTTTAACTTTTTTACATCTTCATTAATGAGTTGTGAGAGTGAAGTGAGTTTACGTTGAAAGCACTTGATGACTGAGGTAATGTGTTTGTAAAATGTACGAAGGTAGAACACATAGAGATTAAACCTTTAATGGAGGACAGAAAGCAGAATATTTTTAGTATAATTAAGAGTAAAGCAGTTATGTTTATGTCATTCGGGCCTGAGTTATTGTTTGAGTAAGAACTAATTATTTGTAATTATGTTTGTTAGTGGGTGGAAAAAGTGTGGCATTTGTAATGTGGGAGAGTAAGGTTAGGAACATTTTAATACTTGTTAACGGTATGAAGTGTGAATAAGATTAACTGTGTGCATACATTTGTGCAAATGGTCCGCAGTGAATGAATCATCAGGCTTTTCTTTATGTTAAACGTCGTAAGGTTTATGGAAATATGAAAGGATTCAACCATTACCCCTTCCGAATAGCTGGAAAATGCTTTTTGAATTACTATAATATTATTAATATCAATATTAACATCGAATTAATAGAAATTTTATCTTTTATTTGAACTAAAGCATTTTGAAGACTGTACGTTGTTTTATAGAATGTTTTGATTTTGTGTGACCTAGGGATTCATTGCAGTTTTATTGTATCATGATAGTATGGTAGAACTGCATTATCACTTCATGACAGTTCATCCAGTTTATTATTATTATTATTATTATCATTCAGGAAAAGAACATTTCTAATAAACTTCATGGGATAGTCATTAAATTTTAAGATGTAGATTATAGTTTCCTGTTCTTTTTATTACTCTTTATTTGATTTAATGATCTTTGATGTTTGTTTAAGTAAGTTTAGAGAGATTTTTGGATTGAATAAATGGTGAGACTAAAATTTATGGACGACCTTTGAAGGACGCTAGAGTAACCTCGAGAGTGTTCACACAATAACTAGGATCAAATGAAGGTTATAAACCTGTGTGGGGAGTTCGAAATATGATTTACAGTTCATGGCTAAGGCTAGGAATTATACTGAGGGTTTTCAACACGAACTGACATCAGCTCTAATGCAGAAACGTTATTTATCCAAATGAATGAGTTGATTTCGCGCGAAAATCCGAGACCTGTTATCATATACCTGATTGGTTCGTCCATAAATTATAGTCTCGCCGAATAAATATATTTAGCTGAAATCAATATAGTGATTTTAATATGCCAGCTTGCTGTATGTAATCAGATTTAGACCTCAGTTTGAATTCCTTTTAGGTCAACAGCCTGAAAATGGTAGTTCACTGAGTTTATTTCCATTTTTGGAGGTGAATATTAGGTGAGCTAAAAATGTATTTACCGCTTTAGAAAATTTTTATTCAGATCAACCCTATATGAGTATTGAATGATGATTAAATTCCATTATTTACTAAGGTAGTTTACATTAATAGATTTGCGTAGCTTAACTATTAATTACATCACAAACTATTATCACATTGAAAACTACCTAAAACCAAAAACAGTGAACAATTATTCTGTTTAAATTTAAAATTCTCTAATAGTCTATACTCATCATACATGTAGTTCGAGCAGATCTTCAAGTATAGTATTACGTACGATACATAAATTAACAGTACACATCTTTAAACTTCATTTATTGATCCAAAGTATTCCTTTAAGTAGTACAGAAAGATTTTTTTTAATCATGATGCTCTTCTCTCATATTTTCCTATGGGACTTTTAGAATAAATTCAAATATATTTGGCTATATGAATTAAATAAATTGATTTAAATTTCATTAAGTTTGAAAGAAACAAAACCAACTTGATAAAGTAACGGGTGAGAATAAACTGTGATATTTTCATTTCTCACTATTGCTCAATATAACTATTCGTGCTTTTTCTCCTGATATAAATTGGTTTTGAGGTGGAGGTGAATGGGAAACAATTATCTATTTACTGTTCAACTTGATATTTCTATTATGATTATCAATATCTCAACCAACAATTGTTTTTTTCCCTTTTTGAGTGGTGTATGCAATAACACTACTAGTAACTATAGTACTATCACTACTATAATCGTTATTACTAGTAGTATTACTACGACTACCATCACCACTACCAACAATAATGATAATGGTTATTTGATTTATAGCTGTAATGCGTGTATCTCCATCTTACTACTAACTGTTTAACTTTTGAGTATCGTTATTTTTTTAATTTTTTCAATGACATAAAGAAAAGCAAAAGATCAGATAAATGAAAGAATTCAGTTTTTTTTTAAATAAATTTTAAAATGAAATCTATTTCAGTAGTTTATATAAAAAAATAAAAATATTTTTGAACGATAAAACAAATGATATTCATTGGGGGGGGGAAAGAAACGTCATATTTAATTAATTTTAAATTTTTTCCCTAAATTAATTTTTATTTTGATAATTCACTAAAGCTAATTAATATAAATGGTTTCAATAGAAGGTATGTTAATGAAAAGTTATTTACAGAGTTAAATTGAAACAACCGTTAAATAATCAATCAGTGTTGAGTTATTCTATGTGGAATACAATACCAGAGCTAATATGTTGCATATTTGTGTTTATAATGGAAGAATATGGTAGCTTATTAATGTATACAGTTATAATAAATGGGACAAAATCAATGTAATCAATGAGTGATCTACTTTTTATTAGGTAAATTGAATTATCTGTGCCAAACATCCAAGTGAAATAGATTTCAAGAGATATAAATTATTGACCGGTAAATGGTTATAATCCTTTAAGGAAAATAAAATATTTATATGTGCAGAATATTGGATACTAAAATAAACATAATTAAATATCAGAATGGGGTTTTGTGAAGATTTTAATAATTTTATGGTTGAAATCATGGGTCAATTGAAGCTAAACCATCATGGAAAACTTGGAAGCACTGGATGGCTGTTTCGTCCCAGTATGAGACTCCTCAGCAGTGGGCATTCATGAACCCTCCCGCAGAAACCGAACCCGTGACCCATCGGTCTCGTGCGCGAACGCTTAACTTCTAGACCACTGAGTTGACATCTAACGGTGTTAATGTCTAACTTCAATCAATCCACGAAATTGAGCAGCCGCCCACCATTTTCTTCAGTGAGTTACTATCTCACAACAGACCTGGTTGAACTCCACTGGTCACTGCTTTTTACTAGAATTCCAGTGCTTCTAGATTTCCCATGGTGGTGTAGCTTCAAGTGACTCATGATTTCAACTATAAAATAACTGAATATATTAAAAAAGTCACATGATTGTAGGATAATAGCATTACAAATTATTTTTCAGTTAATAGATCCAAGCTATAAATTTTGTCCATCATCTGAGTTGCAACGAGATAGAAACGTTCTTAGAAACAGAATTTATAGGTTTTTCAAAATACGCATATTCAACACTAATTTACCATGATAATTTAAATATGGAACAGTGAGGTTGGAATTCATGTTTAATTAGGTTTATCACTATCGCTTCGTCCAGTTTAACCGTGTAAAGAGATAGGCAGTTGCCTATCAATAACAGCGCACGACATTGAAAACTGACTTTATTTAGGAATTTGAATCATTAGATGCTAAATCAAGCTTGGAAATCCTAGGTTCTATCCTAGAAGTGCTCCATCTGGCAGTCGCGTACCAGGATGAAACACCTATCCAATCCTTCCTGGTACTCATTATTTGTTAATCAGTTTGTAATGCAAACTATAAAATTTATCAATCTTTACAAACTGTCTTCCTATACTGATCACTTAGTGTTATTTAGTTTATGTCTTAATAATTGAAAAATGTCACCTGAAAGTGTTAATAATAACGATCCAACTGAATTAATAAAATATAATGAAATAAATTAGGTAGCCAAAATGATAATTTATTCACGAAACAAATCAGCAAATCTCAAGTGAGCAAATTTCACGAAATTTATTACAACCTCTTAATCTTCCAGTAACCTGTTTTCATCAGAATATAATTTAATGACTCAATGAAACTTTGTTTGCGGGCAGTCACAGTAAAATAAAGGCAACATATTTGTATAGGGTTTCAATTATGTAACAAACCTATTCACTTACATTGCAATGACAGACAAGATTGTTAGAAAAGTACATAATCAAGGAGGTTGTCCATTAGGTTTAGTTTGTTGGAATAAAAGTGAGGCGAAATCATCGCTAGCTAATATTTTCTTCTAATTGCGACTTTATGAAGTTATTAGTACTTCGATAGAGAAAATCTCAACAGATTTTTTTAATAACTAGTTATATCGATTTGTAGTCATACAGCTCAAAGACATTTTTCTTCATGTATGAATAAGTTTTTAGTCCAAATGTTCGCTCAAGCTGTCACACAATCTATGAATGTTCAGCAGTTATTTTTGTAACAATCAGTTTAGGATGATACTTCAGTACTGAGCTGTACCAATATCCAAAAAAATAGGTAATAAAGTAGTCGTTTGCAGACCATTTTATCCAACAGAGAAGTAACATTGTTTCACATTAGTTGATCGCTCATAAGGTCTTAGTTTAGATTGTTAGATCACATAATACGCAAATGAAGCCATCGCTTTTTAAACCTTGAATGTTAAGCAAATTAGGACTAAACTCTAAAACGTCTGTTAATGGTCATGACAAAACATATTGCTAGCTCGCCTTCACTGATATTTTCGTTTAAGAACATTCCAGTGGTCTTGACTATTTTGTTACCGTTTGGGAGAAGAACAAACAACTAGTCACATTGACGCCAGCTTATTCAACCATTATTCATTGCTTATTTTATCCACGTGTATCTTTCGTGTTTGTTTTATTATTCTCCTATTAGTGTTGAAATCCGTTTGTGCTGTCAAATAGTTTGATAGTTTTGAGTCAATAAACTGTGAATGACTCATTAACTGTAGGGCGTTTTTCCAGTTTTTAATAATGATTTATCCTATAAGTACACTGTCTGAGTCTTTATTTGTTTCTATCATTCACTATCTTAATATATGCTTAGTTTTGTCTACAAGTATTTGATTAATAACTGAAAATTTAAGTTTTCATTATTAGTGTTAAATATGTACTTTTAAACATAATAACTTCGTATAAAGTTCACTAGACCACACCCATTTCTTTCCATCTCCTTATGATTTATAAATATTAAAAGGTATAGTTTCTTAGTACTAACAAAATTCTTTACAACCAGATGTTGATATCTTTTATTGTCTTCAAAGTACTATGATTTTATGCAGAATATAAAGTTTATTGCAGTTGCCAAGTATACCAAAATGCCTGTTTGCCAGAGTTTATTAAAACAAAAACAATGTAAAATGTAAATATGAACAGTTTGTGAAAAAATTAGCTTTCGATTAAATGGATGGATCAGTGTTGGATGAAGTGATCCGTTAACATCATCATCATCATCATCATCATCATCATCATCATCATCATCATCATCATCATCATCATCATCATCATCATCATCATCATCATCATCATCATCATCATCATCATCATCATCATCATCATCATCATCATCATCATCATCATCATCATCATCATCATCATCATCATCATCATCATCATCATCATCATCATCATCATCATCATCATCATCATCATCATCATCATCATCATCATCATCATCATCATCATCATCATCATCATCATCATCATCATCATCATCATCATCATCATCATCATCATCATCATCATCATCATCATCATCATCATCATCATCATCATCATCATCATCATCATCATCATCATCATCATCATCATCATCATCATCATCATCATCATCATCATCATCATCATCATCATCATCATCATCATCATCATCATCATCATCATCATCATCATCATCATCATCATCATCATCATCATCATCATCATCATCATCATCATCATCATCATCATCATCATCATCATCATCATCATCATCATCATCATCATCATCATCATCATCATCATCATCATCATCATCATCATCATCATCATCATCATCATCATCATCATCATCATCATCATCATCATCATCATCATCATCATCATCATCATCATCATCATCATCATCATCATCATCATCATCATCATCATCATCATCATCATCATCATCATCATCATCATCATCATCATCATCATCATCATCATCATCATCATCATCATCATCATCATCATCATCATCATCATCATCATCATCATCATCATCATCATTATCAAACATATTTCATTGAACTATGTTAGGCATATTATCAATTCCGGCTCAATGATTGAAAAAAAGTAAACAAATCAAAGACAGGTTCATATATTGAAAAATACAATTTATGAGTTTAGAACTGCCAACAAATTAAATTAGTTAACCTTTATAAATAATGAAATAACTAGTATGTAATAAATACTTTAGTTAAAATCACTAGAATAGTTGAAATCTATATAGGTGACGTAGATTTGTAAAATAAAAACAGTTATGTTATAAAGTATTTCACCAGAGATTACGTAATAGTTGATGGACTTTCAAACTACGTAGTAGATAAGTATTTAAGATATAATTAATGCTTTTGAATCAGCTAAATTTAAATTATAAAAAAATATGAATCAGAATGTATACATTTGTAAAACTTATTTTATAAATAAAATAATGATTTACTTGTTAAAATGAAGGTTGATTAGAGTATAAGGAAAGACTAAGAACCTTTTCCTGAAAGTATAGCTCCAGTTTTTCATTTCATGAAGTTTCAGCTGTGACTAACTGCTTTTCATAGATTACAACAACAACTACTACTAATGCTACTCCTGTAGTGAACAAGAACACGACTGGGGACAATAGAATGTACTTAGGCACAAATTACAGATTATCTCACTAAATTCTGATAACCACACAATCAACAGTTAATTTGCAAAATAACAATCAATTGTCTCAATCTTAACTGTTACTTCTGCAAATATCAGTCCATCTTCTCTGATTTCATTATTCATGCATTTTCGTACCGATTGCGCTTCATTTCTGTTCTTTCCTTACCGAAATACATTCTATGCCTGACCATCACCATATACTACTTGTGTGAATATAAGTAGACCACTCCACACTACTACTGAATACTAAAAAAGATTCCTGATTAGTTCTGGATTTATGGTTATTCAATATAAGGCTAATAGAAATTGTCAATAATACCACAGATTAAAGACATTCAAATTTCAATGTTTGATTTTGATTTTTAACTTGTTTCTTAATGTTTATTTATTCATAAATAATAAAAAAAATATAATTCATGCTTGATACATACAAATATTCTCTTTAATCATTTATTGTATATTAACAAAATACAAAATATCTAATATAAAACCATTTCTTCTTTATTGAACTGTCAATGTTCAATTTTGCTTAAATTTATTAAAATTTTGTTTATACTGATAAAATCAATGTATAGTGAAGGAGTTTTAAATGAATAATCATGATTTAATAGGGGGTTGTTTGTGAAGATTTTTAATAATTTTTATATATATGCTCATTTATATATGCTCATTAATGACTGGCTCCATGAGGTATATCCTGGAATTCTAGTGAGAAGCAGTAACCAGTGGAGTTCAACCAAGTCTGTTGTAAGATAGTAACTCACTGAAGACAACAGTGAAATGGTTGCTCAACTTCGTGGATAGGTCGAAGTTAGACATTAACATCGTTGGATGCCGGCCGGCTTAGCGATTTACCGGTTAAGTGCCCGCGCGCGAAACTGGTAGGTCCTGGGTTCGAATCTCGCGATGCGGGATCGTAAATGTACACTGCTGAGGAGTCCCACAATAGGATGAAACGGCTGTTCAGTGATTCCAAGTTTTCCATGATGGTCTAGCTTAAATTGACTCATGATTTCAAGTATATATAAAAATCATGATTTAAGTTTATTAATTTAATGAAATAAATTAAAACTAACATATAAGTTACATTTTTCAAAGACATGTATTCTAATGGATTTCTTTTCTTGAACTCAGTTTACTTTCCTAGGTTATTAATACACTTTTTATGCGAATATTGACTAGTTTGACTAGGTTTTATTTACATTACAGAATGTTATGAAATATTACCATGTTAGTGATATTATGATATGTGCTACTTATGTCGACATAAGTAGTATATAAAAATGGTCAGTAATAGAATGTCTGGCAACAGAAGTTCAAGAAGACTAAGGAGGAAAGAATGGGAACAGAAAGCAATTGGTATGAAAATGCAGGAAAAATGAAGTCTGAGACAATTGACTAATATTTGCAAGAGAAACAATCAAGTTTGAGATAATTGATTGAGATTTTACAAATTAACTATTCATTGTATGGTTCTATGATTCTGGTAAGATGTTTAGTAATGCTGTGTTTGAAGACATTCGATTGTCTACAATTGTGTTCTCGTTCACTAAAATATCAGTATCAATGTTGGGTTTGAGAGTTTCAAGTAAAATTGAACATTGGATAGAATTAGTAATAAATATATTTTTTGTTGTATCCTATTGAGTTTTTTTTATCCACACTTATCAAATGGCTTACATTAAGTCACGAAACGTCAGAAATACAATTTTTTCTACTCATTGAGATATAAGAAAAAAAATATATTTATCATATTAGTGATAATTTTTCAATTCTGCTAATCATCATGTCATAATATAAAGTTAACATCTTAGTAATACAGTGTGTTGTAAGAAAAGATATAGTTTTAAATTAGCACCAGCTAAGTTATTTAAATATCGAAATAAATTTCAACTTGAACAGTTTGTCTAAACACAATATAAGAGATGTAAAATCGGCTACCTAAAATAACAAGTCTTTTAACGTATTTGTAGGGAAGTTTTAGAGATAAGTTTGTAGTACCAGTTCATATGTTAGGCCCATATACTTTATTCTAGTTACTGGCCAAGCCAATTCACCTGTACATTGAGTCATCTTTTGATCTTGTTAATCATTTGCTTATTAACCTTGAGTACTTTTTATATGAGCGCATATGTGTACACTTCGTATCTTATTCATCATATGTCTGTCACTCATTTTTGCCTGCCTATAAATGTTAGTTAACGCTTGCTTAAAATGAGTTGGCTTCCCAGCCATCTCCAATACTCATCATCTTTGCTTCGCTTGCTTACAGTTGCTCATGTGCTTACAACTTTCTGGTCTGCATCGATTATCAATAAAAATGTAGTTGCCGCTTCCCTTTGCCTTCTGATATTATACACCGTTAAGATTGGTATTAATAACGGTTATCGAAGCGAACTATGATCGAAGCACGGCACTACAAGTTTATATAGTTGTGTTAATTCAGTCATCACTCCGAATATTTAATTACTGGTAGTTTGGGATAATCTATAAACAATTGTGCCTGTCCCAGGTTTCGTAATATTTGTTCCTCATCAGTAAGACATACCTGTCATCTTGAGGGAACTTATATCCACTGGTAGGTTTGAACACGTGTTATCCACGTTTGCAGTTTGAAACATAATTTATTAAACTATTCAAATTATGACAGTATTATTATGGTCAGTATTCAGTAATCGATCAGTCATAACTATTTCAACACAACTGATCATTTGAAGTCAACAAAAGTTGGTCAAATGGACTATCTCAGACTGAATCTTTATGATACTGTCAGCTACCTAACAAACCTACCCATTTTACAAACAATAAATGCTTTTATGCATAAGAACGTAACAAGAATCGAGCATTTTTTTATTTTCTTATTCATTTATATTCTTTTTTTAAAATGAATTCACTAATAAACATATTTTTCATCATTATTCCAAATATCAAATTACATATGGATAGGGAATTTTATCTTTTTTTTTTTTCTTTTTAATTAGGTGATAAGGTCACTTAAAATGTGATTGTTTTAGATTTTCTATTTGGATAATTATTTACCGCTTTGAATCGTGTATTCTTTCAGTAAAATAAAACTATTTTCAATGGTTGTTCTTGTTCATCTTCTTATAACTGTGATCTGCTTAATGTAAAAATTAGTTCTATATAAATAATATTCATACATTAAAGGTAACCAATTCGTGTAATTTTCTAAATGTTTATAGTTCATTAGTTTATTATGTAGAAATTACTTATTTCATAAGTGGTTAATTGCTATTGTGAGTTTATTACCAATGTGAATTATCATTTGTAATAAAATTTATGATTGAGATAAGTGAATATCATATTATATAGTTGAGATCATGAGTCAGTTGAAGCTAAATCACCATGCGCTGACTCGAGAAAGGTAGGTTCTGGGTTCGAATCTCGCGGGGCGGGATCGTGGATGCACACTGCTGAGGAGTCGCACAATAGGATGAAACGGCTGTTCAGTGCTTCCAGTTTTTCCATGATGGTCTAGCTTCAATTGACTCATGAACTCAACTATATAAAATTACTAAAATCTCCACAAAACCCCCTTCTGAATATCATATTAATTTGGAGATATTTACCATAAGAGATTAAAGTTACCTGACGTTAAAAACATGATCTATTTGAGACCTATTCAATGATCTTAGAATTTTTTGCTAACCAAGAAATCTGTATGTCTTGAATTCTATTCGTTATTTGGTCATTAATGCACACTGCTGAGAATTTTCAGACTAAGATAACATAATTATTTAGTGCTTCCTGATGTTCAAATGATATAAATTCGTGACGAAAATCACTATCTAATCGACAATATCAAAAGATTATCATGACAATAAATTGAAAGGTTTATGAATTCATAGGCTGGATATGTAAATGCATAATTTTAACTAACGGAGATGATCATTAATATGAACATGAAAATTGTAAGACACCATGTTTTATCCTGTGTTGGACTCATTACTTCTAATAATACCAGCGTAACTTCACTTTTATTATGTACAGAATTTCTTCTATAAATAAGCCTTCAATTTTTTACCTCCTATCATCTATCAAAGTTTATTTGGCAAATTATCTTTAGAGTTTCTTTATTCTATAATTGAGGTTGCTAGTTTTCATCAACTTTTCAATTCCGAGATGATAAACATCTATACAAACAAAATACAATCCAATAGACTAATGAACATGATCATTTTGCTTTCATTAGAGCTCTTCCAACATATAATCAAAATTTTTCATGGTTTATAACTTTCGTTACACAATATCATAATTTTAACTGAAAAATAAAAGTATTGAGGTTAAAGAAATTTAGTAAAACAGGTATCCATTTCATATTGATGTATTTTTTAATCAAGCAATTAACATGTCATATAAG